CCAAATAGAGAAAAATTGAATGCTGACGGAGATAAAGCTGAGAGAAGAGGCCCAAATGTGCTCACACASTGAATTTTTACAAGACTGGTACAGTGAATGCAAATCAATCTTCATTTATCACTTTACAACAACCAAATCCTTAATCTGAAAGCATTTCAATTACAAAACTTTATGTGCTAATATCTGTATGGCAATTTACAGCACTAGCAGCCTTTCTTTCAAAAATGCAGTTTCCAGAGTTCGAGTTGAAAATATTATGAGTTTTTTTTAATCCCACTTAAAACAAAAGCTTAGTCTAAATTTCCCATTACAAGCCCCCTATTTTTCAGACACCGCTTTTATCTAAATTTGGGCCAAATTCTTTTCTTAGCTTCCCTTGCAGCCTTGAGGCCCTKCACTTACATCTCATTGTATTATAGACATTTATGGGATGCAATTAATTTTCTAATTTRAAAGAGAAAGAAATCCCAGGGATTTGTTCTGTGYTATTTTGYAAACAGCAGAAATTCTGCTGTCACGGTGGAGGGTGGTTGTTGTCAGACGTGATGCAGAAAGCCTGGTTTGCATTCACTGTACCAGTCTTGTAAAAATTTAGCATGTGAGCATATTTGGGCCTCTTTTCTCAGCTTTAGCTCAGTTAGTGTTTCATTTTCTCCCTATTTGGCTCTTTTTATTTTCTATTCTTTTTCATTCTTTTCAAAATCAACCTATTTTGCCTTTTTTTTATYCACCCCATTCCATAGTTGACACATCTTGGCATTTTTCCTCCTCTTCCGTGCACAAACATTTTCCTCTATGGTTTTGGTTTTCTCCCATTTTTAAAGCCAACAGTTTCCTCTCTGATACATTTTTAGGCTCTCCTTTATCTACCTGTCTGTATCAGTCTTTCCTTTCTTCACCCCATTTTTCCTAATATCTGTGCTTTTTGATCTCTCTCAATCCCTCCCATTTTGTCACCCTCTCCATTTTCTCATAATTTCTTGTGGCTGACCATACCCTTCATCACTCTTTGTTCTCTGACTGCTTCAACATCATCTCCCCTCTGAGCATCTCCCTGCAGATGTAATGAGTGGCATTAGGAATGGGATGAGATGAAAAAATATCCCCACAAGAATCTGGGTCCATATGGGTTCTGTTTGCATTCACACGGAGTGGGTGTGCACCCATCGCCTGCAAAGCCCTTTGAATAGTCTGTGTTTTGTTACAGATCATGTGTTTCCATGGCCTTCTACTATCTTATAAAGGGATTTGATGTCTTTCATGGGGATATGAGATCTGACTTCTCTCAGCAGCATCTCTTTGATTTTTGGGGTTGTGTTCCTGTGACAGAAAGCAGCTGAGCCATCCTTGGTTTGTGGCATTTGTACTGCACAACAATCTAATTTATTAATAACTTCAATCTCTTTTGCAAATGCTTTTATTGGGAAAATGTTGCTATTCTGAAAACTTTCCCRTCTTGACTTAAAAAGTGTTTTTGTCCTAATATATAAAAAAGAAAGTTAAATTAAAATTGCTGTTGTTTAGAACTCTGCTACAGCTTTCAGTAAGCAGAAGGTTTTCTGCTTTTTTATCATGTTCACTAATATTTGCCAATATCAGCAAGTGATCTAAAAGTACTTCCTGGAATGACCATCTGAAGGGACAGTTACAGATTTCACAGGATTGTGCTGCTCACTCCTAAGAGGAAAAAAGAATTATGGCTTTGGGCAGCAGAACAGTGCAAGGATGGGAAACCCTGACAGAGCAAAGTCAAATTTCAGCATTTTCATGCTTTGGGATTTGTTTTGTTTTGGTGTGATTTGGTTTCGTAAATCCAGGCTAMTTCTCCAGGAAGAACAAAGTCTGAAACCTCTGTACTTGATAATAACTTTCTTTCTTCTCTTGTATTAAATGACAGCACTAATAATATACAATATCAAGTTATGAAGCATCTTGTCCTGAGTTATTCAATGAGTCTGCTGTGATGTAAATRAAACAAACCCAACATTAACTCAGATGCAAAATTCACTGTAGATGAGATAAGCAAAGTCAAAGAACAAAAGTTCTAGTTCATTAGAACTAGATGAAATTCATATCCAGATTGGTGTAAACTCTGGGTAATTAGCTTGAAACATGATCCAAAGAAGATGTGGATAATTGGGTTCAGCATGCCTGAAGATCACCTATGTCTCTTGAAACGATAAATTATTTGTGCTTTGAAGCTGCTTCCCATTCTCTCAATCAGCTGCATCTGAGAAGGGCTATTCATCTCATAATTTACTTATCTAAACTTGCTACTCAAAGCAAGACAAAAGCAACAAGACATGTGGGTAATTGAATAAATGAATTTGTTCCTGGTGGCTTTCAGGAATCCCAACCACTGCAATGGAGATCAAACACATCTCTGAAACAGTTGAGTCTAAGCCAGGGATCACATGGGAGGAGAAAATGAGCAGGGCRGGAATTATTATCTGATTTTATGCAAGGTGTCTAGAGAAAGGGAAAATCTGTGCATGCACTCACAGAGATAGTGCTGCGGACCCAGATGTGATGCAGTCTCCTACGTGAAATACTTGTGTACAGAATCACAGAACAGACCCACAGAATGTCCTGAGCTGGAGGGGACCCACGGGGTACCCTGAGCTGGGAGGGACCCCCAGGATCATCCAGCCCAACCCCAGCCCTGCCCAGGATCATCCAGCCCAACCCCACCCCAACAATCCCACCCTGAGCATCCCTGGCAGCGCTGTCCAAACGCTCCTGGAGCTCTGGCAGCCTCGGGGCCGGGACCATTCCCTGGGGAGCCTGGGCAGTGCCAGCACCCTCTGGGGACACAAGAACCTTTCCTGATCTCCAGCCTGAGCCTGSCCKGACACAGCTCCAGCCGTTTCCTGGGTCCTGTTCCCGTCCCAGAGCAGAGATCAGAGCTGTCCCTCTGCTGTCCCTTGGGAGGATGTTGAAGATCACAATGGGGTCTCCCCTCAGGCTCCTCTTCTCCAGCTGAACCAGCCAAGCACCCTCAGCTGCCGCTCAAACAGCTCCTCCAGACCCTTCCCCATCCTCCTGGCCTCCTTTGGATMCTCTCTCAGGACTTAATGCCTTTATATTGTGGTGCCCAAGCTGCCCCCAGGACTGGAGGTGAGGCCTGTGCAGAGCAGAGCAGGACAATCCCCCCCTGTGCCTGGTGTCCCCAGGACAGGGCTGTCCCTCTGGGCTCTCAGGGCACTGCTGAYTCACATCCCACATGCCATCAGCCAGGACCTCTTCCTGCAGCTGCCATCCAACATCCCACTGCCCAGTCTGTCCATGCCCCAGGGTGACCCCACCCCGGGGCAGAGTCTGGCACTTCCCCCTGCTGASCTTCTCATGGTTGGTGATGGCCCAGTGCCCCCATTTGCCGCAGTCTCCCCATGGGGCTTCCCTGTCCTTAAAGGAGCCAGTTTTGCACCGTAGATGAACTTGCTCAGTTTCCCTTCCAGTCCTGTTCCCAGGTCATGTTGAAGAGCACAGGGAAGAGGATTGAGCCCTGTRTAATGCCCCAGTGCCTTCTGATGTCACCCCTTGTGCCCGCTCCGTGAGCCAGCTGCTCACCCATCCCATCATSTGTTTATCCTACTGTGGGATGGACAGTCTGCCCAGAAGGGTCCTGTGAGACACAGTATGGAAAGCTGAAAGAATGACATCTCCTGGCTTTTCTAGACTGACCAGTGTTGTTCCACACTTCCACAGTAATAAATCAGGTTGGACAAGGAGGACTTTCCCCTCATGAATCTGTGCTGGCTGTGACCAATGACTGCATTGTCCTCCAGCTGTGTTTCAATACCCCCCAGAATAATATTTTCCATTATTTTCCTGGGCACTAAAGGGACGCTGATAGGCCTGTATTTTCATTTTCTAAGGTCTTGCCCTTCTTGAAAATCAGGACGACATCTGCCCACTTCCAGTTGGGTGGGACCTCTCTGGGTTCCACGAATGACTCAAAAAGCATTGAGAAGGCTCTGCGATGACTTTAACAGCTCTTAAAAGATTTTCGGACAAATCCCATCAGGCCCAATAGATTTTTAGGAATCCAGCTGAGGCAGGAGATCCTGCACAATTTTCAGGGTGGATTTTCAGGGGGGGAATTGATCAATCTCACAGTCCTGCTCCTCCAGCTCAGGGCACTGGGACCCCCTTGGTCCATCATCCGTGCTGAAGATGGAGGCAAAGAATGGCTGATGGACCAAAGGGGTCCCAATGCCCTGAGAATCAATTTAGCTGCTACAATCAGTTTGAGCCAATGCCACATCAAATCAGACATTCATTAGAAACCTGGGAAGGCAAATGTGAAATGCAGAAATGCCAAACAGCAAAGGCATTCCGGAAGGAACATCAGAATAGAAATTTGCATATTTTACCCCTAATGATTGAAAAAGGGAACCAATTATCAGTGTCAAACAAATCCTCATTCAATTGCGTGAAAATGAATAACAATAATGAAGACCAGAGGAATGAAGAACATGAAGAACTATGACAGGATGAGTGTGAACGATACAATGGTCATGAGAGTTCCTTTGCAGAAGAGCTACCAGCACTCAGTGAGGTCTCTCATTCTCTTAGATGTGATCTCCTSATCCTGCCTCAAATCAGCCAGCTTGGTTAAAAAGGTTATATCTGATTAATTCTTGCTTTTACATGGGGGGAGATGTAACAAATATCCCAGAAATACCAAGTTATGCACACCTGTCTTTGTGAAGGTCAGTGGAAGGCAATTTAAAACCTTTATTATTTCATGTTTCTTGCTGCTGTTTCCATGGAGTTGCACTGCTATAAAATTATTTTTTCTGTGACAAGTCATGGAGAAGATGGGCAAGTTTGGAAACCCTTCAGAGAAACCTTAGTGTTGGCAGTGGGAGAAGAGGCACATGAAGTGAAAACTAATTCAATTTATGCTTTTGAGCAAAACAGTCAAAATTGTTGCATTGTCAGTTGTTGCATCACATTTTGGTGCAATAATGCTGCAGCTCAGGAGAATGTCTTACCTTTAGGAGAGGTCTGGGGTCCAACGGTTCCTTGGAAAGTCTGTGAAATCAAAGGATGCTGTTTCATTGAAAACATTCAAAAGGACTGACGGCTGCAGGTTGGTATGGCATTTATTGCTGGGTTTATGCAACAAAAAAACCCCAACCTCCCACGCCCTGTTGATACTTCTCTGGTCACTCTTGCCCCAGCGTCTCTCATTCTTTTTCATTGCTTGAAAATTCATACTGTGAGCTGTCTTTCACTCTCATGATGATCTAAAATATTTCAGCCAGATTTGACTTTATTTCTTTACCTGTTGCCCTCATTTTTACAACCATGTGGCTAATATGAGATAGGATTTTGCTTTGCAATTCAAATACTTTAAATCCCTGAGAAGAGAAATAGAGAGAGTGTATTGATGATGGAAATGCTGAAAATGTCAACGCTTTTGGATTGGAACTACAATAGGCAAAGTATTTATTGAAAAGCTTTATTCTGGTTGACGGGGACACCAGGTCACGCAGACACCAATATGATGAGCATGATCCGTTTATTTCTAATACAAGCTCCTTTTTATCTACTTTCATAAGCCAGCCTCTCTATATGATTAGTAATGCCTTTCTATATGATTAGTAATTATTCATTGGTTAATTAAACAGTCTGTCTATTACATTTCAGCATATGATTGGTATATTTGCAAAAGCATGTTTTTGCATGCCTTGCAGTTTTAAATCAACGTTCTCAGCATTTTACACTTTTTTCAATTGTCCTATTGTTCTTCAATTGCTCTTTGTTCTTGCTTCTTACTATGTTTCTTCTTCATGGTCAGTCGGTACATGTTACACCGCTGTAGTCACGTCCTCTTCTTTCCAATCCTCTTCTATCTCATCCTGCTCTATCTTGTGGTCTGRGTTGCTCAGTAACAGCAATTCATGCCCTTGTTCCCACAAAAACCTGTCTAACAGAGATTCACCTRACTGAGATCCTTCTACAGCTTTATCCATAGTGCCTTTCATGATATAATTTAATAAGAGAAACTGCCCATGAACAGTTAATCCTAACCTTTTTCACCTTCATAATCAGTTTTAGCAGAAAGGTGAAAGTTTCAAATTTGTGYCATAAAGTTGACTTACTCGATCCTGCTTTCATTAAAAATAARAAGAAAGGAAAATCTTTAGCGGACGTATTCTTTGTTAAAAGTTTCTTCACTAGCCTGAAGAATAAAGGCAGCAAGAGCAGAGCATTCGGAACAATGAAGGAAAGACAGAGGCAATAGTAACATGAACTGAAAGATGCCAGATATACTTTAATTATTGTCAGTAACGTTTTCAGGACTTTAAATTGCAAATGTTTTTAGGAAAGGAATTTCCATTATCTGTGAAGTACCTGCTGTATTTCTGATCACTGCAAAACCTGGGRCATCACTATGGCACAAAATGTCAAATATATTCACTGTGTACATTCTACAGACAGAAAATGAGGTTTCCTAAGTGCTTCAGTATTTTGCATTAAATTCTTAGATTCTTAGCATTTTAAATTACAATCTCTAATGGCTGTCATTACCAACTCATTTAAATAAAACAATGTTTTAATTAAATAGTTAATTTACAACATCAATAACTTTGTTAATTCATGTTACGTTCATGACATCTTTCATATCTTAGTGATTTACCGTGCTGAGAGGGATCTATCTGRGCATTAAAACAGGCTGTACTGTTGGACTCTTGCAACCTCCTAAATCAGATGTACTTGCTCTGCTACAGCTGTATTCTAACTAATCACCGGAAAGGATTTTAAGGACCCCATAGTATTCATTGCCATTTTATTCAGTATCAGACAGTTCTCAGTAGTGCTGCTGTATATTTTGAGATAAATCACTTCTTTTTTTTTGTTGCAACAGTTTGAAATGGGGGAGAAAAATCCACTACAAAACCAGCATCACAATACATTTTTATTTTAAAAGTTATTTTCATTTTTACTTTCCTACCATTTAAAATTTAAGATCTTGGAAGCAAAGATCAGTGGTCCAATTGCCCTACAAAAAAAATTATCTGGGCTTGCCATCCTCCTTCACCAAATGGRGCAAATGAAACTTGCTAGAATTAATTTGAAAGTGCAAAACTCATTTGGCATTTGTGTGAGAGCCGCAAAGTGAGCGGATGTGAAACCAGGCAGTGGATTTAGAGAGTGAGGCACTGAATTCTTCAAATAATCACAACTTCCACCTTCTTATTTTATCAACCGGAAGAACAGCAGACATCTGATCCTTGTTAATGCTGTCAGTGTGTTTACAGGTTTCAGAATTCTGTGTATATCATAAAAACATCTTGTCTAAGTCTGAACATATATGATGATATACCATGGTAATAAACAAAAGTTAAAAAAATTTTGAAAGTGGTTTAAAATAACCCAACTCAACATTCAGTGAAATCTCTCCTTAAACAGAAAACTAAATCCTCCACAGTGAAGAAACTACTTATTCYCCYCCTRTAATAGAAGGAATTTGAGACTGGTATGTGATAAAACTCAGTAAGAAGTAAAAGTATGTTTCCTATGAAAAGATATTTATAAACCTCAACTGTCCAATTTCTAAAGGTAAACTTATAATTTAAAAAGCAGAACCAAAACACTTTCTTGCCCACAAAGGAGATTTGCATAAATTAATATATTAGTTTAATGAAATGTGTGTCCTTTTTTAATATACTAGTTTTTATTTAATGAAAATTGGTGAGTAGTTGTAACCTTCAAGTTTCAACCAACCTGTGCTGCTATTTTTAAGTAAATTATATATATATATATATATATATCTTTATGTGTATGTGTAAGCAGAATATTTAAATTATAGATTTCTCTGGCCCCTGTATTTTTGTTTTAGCTTGCTAAACAATCCATATCACATGGTGAGTTCTTGCTGGAGCTATCAATATCTTTCAAAAAATATTTTGTTGTAATTTAGAATAATAATGAAAAATATAAAATCATTAAAAGCTTATGAATAAAAGCAAAACATCCACTTAAACCATTAAGAATTTACTCACCAGTGGAATGCAGCTGAGGAAATTACATTTTCAGCCAGACTGGAAAGTCACAGAAGTGCTGTACATTGATTCTCAGTCCTGGCTTTTCTCATGGAAAGAAATTCCACTGCAACTCAAGTGAAACTAATCCCACTAAACCCTTTGATTTGTCTGGATTTCTCAGGTAACTCAGCTTTTAAGGGTTTTATCTAGAATATATCTTTTCTGTGAAGGAGTCACCGGAGAGAAAGAGGGAAGGGAAGGGAAGGGAAGGGAAGGGAAGGGAAGGGAAGGGAAGGGAAGGGAAGGGAAGGGAAGGGCTGCGGGGGCTGCTGGGGAGATGCTGCAGGGGAGATGTGTGCAGCGGGATGTGTTCGCTGCATCTTGTTTGGCTGCCTCAGAAACGAACCCCCAAGTGCATTTACCACATACCTTGCTCACAAGCCTTCCTCTGGCTGCCCTTTGAACATCCTGCTCTGGCTTCCTCCTTTTATTAACCAGCCATGGGGCGAAGGAGGGGTGTGAGTGGTCCTGCTTATATTGAGTATCCCAAACATGCTGCCGGGGGCTGTGCTTTGGAAGGGTTGTGATTTCTGTCCTCCCCCTCCGATCCCATGTCCGCTGGCAATGCTGCTGCCAGTCCATCCCATCCTCCAGTTACACAACAGAGTTTTGTCCATCAGATGTGTGGGGCACGGGGACCCACCCACAGGCACTTCTGGTGAAGCAGGAACTCCTGACTTTGTTCTGCTCTGTGGGCTGTGTTGGTTGGTTTGTGCCTTTGGCCTTGGCAGTGATCACATGTTGGAAGCAAAGGCCCATCACACAAGTTGGTCGGTTTGAAACCTTCCTTCCATGAATACAAAGGGACAGAGTGGGCAGGGTTGGAAGGGACCTTAAAATCCATCCCATCCCACCCCTGCCATGGTCCGGGACCCCTTCCACTGTCCCAGGCTGCTCCCAGCCCCGTCCAGCCTGGCCTTGGGCACTGCCAGGGATCCAGGGGCAGCCACAGCTTCTCTGGGGACCCTTTGCCAGGGCCTGCCTACTCTCACAGGAGCAATTCCTTCCCAATATCCCATCCATCCCTGTCCTCTGGCAGTGAGAAGCCATTCCCCCTTACCCTGTCCCTCCATCCCTTGTCCAAAGTCCCTCTCTAACTCTCTCAGAGCCCCTTCAGGCACTGGAAGCCTGCAATAAAATCTCCCCAGAGCCTCCTCTTCTCCATTTTGAACAATGCCAGCTCTCTCCAGTGTTTCCTCATAGAAGCAGTGCTCTAAATGTTCCACTTGTACGAACCACACTCACAGAAAAGAAAGGTACAGATAACACTACAAGAACTCCATCTGACTCTTGGCCATCACCCTCCATTGTGTGAGGAAAGGGTTTTTTTCCTCACAGCCGCCAAATGGGCCTTGTYTTGGTAACACTCCAGGGGATGACACCGGGACAAGGGGAGAACAAGAAGTCTGGAGTCGCAGCACCCAAACCAGTTCCTGCTTCACTGATGCCTGGGCAGGGTGAAGTGAGCCCTGCTCCTGCCAGACCAACCTGACTGATGGACCATCACCTCTGCCACCAGGCCCTGCGGTAGGTCCTCTTGAATTTCCCTTTCTCAAGTCAAAGGGCATTTGCTCCAATGGAATTTTTTTCTGAAGCATTTACAAAGCAAGAATAAGCATTGTGAAGCCATAAAACCCTTCTACTTTTAACTGCAGCAACACTTGTAAATTTTCATTTTTTCTGGCGGCATGAGAGCAGTGCTGGGCTGAAAGCATTGCACAAGGAGAGCTGAGCTTTCCCACAGCCCCTTTTCCCAGAGCTGTGCCACACACAGGCTGGGAGAGCCCCTTGGTCAGCGCTGACCATGGGCACTGCAGCCACACATGCAAGCAATTTGCTTGCCCCAGTTTTCCCAAGAAGGAAAGTAGAACACAGAACCACTTAAAGATACTATAAACAAATATTGGAAAAATGATGGAATAATGTCTCAGGCATTATTTCAGAGAAGAAATATTGAGGATCCTTTTCACAAGCCTTGGAGCAATGCAGGCCCTTGGATGAATGACAGTCAATAGCTGGGAATGAGACTTTCAGTAGATACAAGTATTGTTTATTATCTGGTTATGAAATTGTTTTCTAATTTACTTTTGTTGTATGCAGTCAAGATAGACAACCAAGAACAGTTAATCCCTCATAATTTAAAGGGTAATTCATCTGGATGTGCAACCATAGAAAATATTTTTTTTTCATTTTTAAGTTGAAACCATATAATTTGATTTCCTTTTCAATATTTTCCCTGGTTTTTTGGGTTTGGTTTTTTTTTGTTTTTGTTTTTTTTTTCTGTTGTTCCAGTTTCTCTGGTTTGCATCAGGCTGAGCCTGGTCTTATATTTGGTTGCCAAATAACCTTGCCAGAACAAACTGGAGCCTTCCTTCCAAACTTCTTCCTTCAGCTTCCTATGACAGTGATTCCACAAGGAATGTCCCCCAGGGAATTTGGTTGTACATTTGCCAACTGTGCCTCTTCAGGTTCGTAATAGTTGAGAACTCAGCTGAGAAAGGTAATGTTTTTGTCACTGAAGCTATTTTAAGAAAGACACCTTTTGCTTTTTCCTAAAAGTGTTTTAATTTCTACTGAAGATGCAATGTAAAATTACATAAGATACAATCTCTTCTCTCAGATGATGTCTTTTTCTACCACCCCTTTCAAGCAACGCAGTTTTATTATGTAACTTTTGCATTAGCATAGGAGTAATAAAGATCAGAAGTGGGTAACTGTATTCATAATGAGAACCAAATCTTCAGGTGGTTGAAGTCAGCAGGTCCAAGTGGGGTTTGGTTGGTTGTTTTAAACCATCTGGAAATCTTGACTCATGGTTCTGTGCACCTGATGAAGAAACTCCATGTAATTCCAGCCGGAGAAACTTGTGCAAACAGGCACAAAGGACCAACTTTGCAACGAAAAACTAACTTTGAATAAAGGAAAAATCTCTCTTTTCTCAGGATGGCCTAGTTAACTCCACAGCCCCATCAAGGTGTGCATGAAGGCTCTTACCTTTGGGTTTACTTCAAAACTAAATGGCAAAATCTTTATGGATGGGAATCTGGAATTATGGCAATACCCAATATTACCCAATGACTTTGATCAGTTCTTGTAGTATTTGCCATCATTGCCCTAATTTCCCTTTCTGATTGGAGTGATAGCATGAAGATAAAATAGAACATCTATCAGAACTGTTGTACACCCAGTGAAGGCAGCATATTGCAGAGAGAACTTGGGTGCCATGTCCCTAAACAGGATCAGGGATTTGTTTTGGGATCCCACACAGCCCCAGGAGACACGAGTTAACATGTGTGTAAGGCACAGCCCTGCTCTGTGGCTGTCCAAGGCATGGCATATTTGGAAAAATCTGGAAAATGCTCACAGAAGCATGAGAACAGAGGGCAGATTAATAACTGCTTTATTCTAAAATCTGTTAAAAGATTTTAGACAAAACAACATGGATTGATTTTGTCAGCTTAAAGAAGGCACAGAATTTAAATGAGTATGTGCAAAGTGAGACAATAAATCAGTGACCCACAGTTTTGATCTTTTCCTTGAAGACATGAATATCAAGCGTCCAGCAGACAATATTGCTGTTTGTCCATCGGAGCTGTCTGCAGTTCAGTGTGACCACAGCACTGCCAGCCAGGCAAAGCAGCTGCATCTTGGGCAAGGGACAATGTGAGAAACATTGTGAGAGGGTTGAGTAGTGGAGTGAGTGCCAGGGCTGACTGGCACCTTGCAGTGCCCTTCTCCCAGCACAGCAAACCCCTGGTGCTCACAGTCCCCTCTCTTCACTTACCATGCTCTCCTTTGCTTTATCCAGGGAGTGAAGAGCTTTCTTTTTAACTTTCCACTCACACAGTAATTCTGCTCACATCCATTTTCTCTCAATATGAAAATATCCCATTCCTCTTGTCCATGACACGCACTTCTAGGATTATAGAAAAAGTGGCCAAGAAACCTTTCTGGTTTTTGCACATATCTCCTGTCACATAATTTTTAAAGCCCTGTGGTGGCAGGATGCTGAGGGGTCCCTACCCTCCCAGTGTCCCTGGGGCCCCATGTCTGTTCCAGCCCTGCCTGGAAATGCGGCTGGGCTGGGGGTGCCGGTGACAGCTCTGTTCTGCCCTGTCCCACTGCTGTGTAGGGGTGGAGCTGGTGGCACAGTGAAAACAGGAGCAGAAGAGCCTCTCCAGTGGCTTTGGGGAAGCCCCACTGCAGTGTGGCTGTGTGGCTGTGGGTCCAGGCATGACCGTGGTGCTGCTCACAGGGCATGGCAGAGCGTGCTGGACTGAAATCGGCTCTTTGTACATCAGCTGGTGGTGCTGACACATAGAAGGAATCACCCTTCACCTGTGCAGGACCCTGAACAGATGTCTCCCACAGAGAGGAGGCACAAAAAGCTTCTCTAAAGTGTTCCCACATTTCTCTCCCTAATTTGCCATCCAACCCTGCTCAGCACCAGCAGAGGCCTTCCAGGCAATGCTGGCTTTAGCTAAACATGGTCCTCTTTGCCTCCTGAGTAGAAGATGTGTTTCAGAAGGGATCTTGGAGTGGGATGTGCTACTCTGGAATTCCAGATGATTGCTAGGGTTATCAGTCTGATTTATAACCATCTGTAAAGTTGAAATTCATTTAATGGAAGGTTTTACATAAGAGAAATGCTTGGTTTGTTCTGTGCCTACAGAAAAACTGTTAATCATGGCAAAGATAATGTTTACATGGCTGGTTGCAGGTCCTTCCTTCGAGCTTCTTTAGGATCTGGGAAGAACAAAAGCCTCAGCCGAGGTTGGGACGTGTCACTCAGTCTCGGAACACATTGTTTCTCCTTCTGAATGGACAGAAACGCTGCAATTCAGATGATGGATTTCTTTGACAGGGGATTTCTCAGTTCTGCTGAGTGCATGGATTAAAGCTGCTATTCTCTTTTTGTTCATAACAGGGTGTCTGCTTTCCTGACCACAGATCCTGGACAGAAATCCAGGAGCGACACAAGAGGAGCAGGAGGTTTGAGTGAGCAGGGTTGGCGTGGGCAGGGCTCTGGCTGGTTTTTGGCATCTGAGCCACAGCACCACTTCCGCTCCAGCTGAGCTGGAGCTGCCTGGGACATTCTGTTCCTGCCAGTCCACCACAAACACAGTCCTGAGCAGCACACAGCAGCTTCATTGGGCTGGGTGAATGGGCCAGGCTCAGCCTGTCCCGGGCTGCAGGGGGTCGATCAGAGCACAGCTCCTGTGCTCAGGGCATTGCCAGCTCTGGGAAATCCGTGGGAATTTCTCCTGCACCTCTTCCTTACCTGCCACCCAAACTCAATTTGCAGTGAGGTTGTGCGCAGC